GGAATTTTGAGTACCGCCCTGTCTCAATGTGCTCGTGTTTGGCGACAACGGATATAATCCGTCGTATCGGTTCATCGCATCGGAAACAAAAAAGCGAAAGAATTTGGAACGAATTATTTCATTCATTTGTATACAGTAAGTGTCAGTGAATAGTTGTATCTGTTGCGTGGCTCAAACGAAATAAAAAATGGCACATGTTTATGCGGATCGGTTTCCCAATCGAGTGCAACCAACCCCTCGTGCCTTTGTTAATGTAGTACAACGGGCTCGTGAATCAGGTGACTTAAGACCTCACAGGGGACCTCACGATCAAATACAGGTCCGCACTGAAATACTTGTCGGGAGGATACTTTATAAAACAAGGTAAAAAATTTTTTTTAATTTTTTTTTTATTTTTACACACATATTTTGGTTTATATTCCTTCTACAATCATTATCTGAAAATTAATGACTCAACTTCAAAGTCACCCTGTATATATATATATATATATATATATATATATATATATATATATATATATATATATATATATATATATATATATATATATCACCGACGAACTACTAGACGTTATCCCGCTCAAAGATGGCCGGAGAAGATATTTTTGATGCTGTAGAATACATAATGAATGACATGGGTATACCAATCAAAACTTTGCGTAGTGTTGTTACTGATGGAGCGCCAGCAATGTTATCGGAAGCACAAGGTTTTCCTGGGCGAATGAAAATAAAAGTACGCGATGCTGGGCTACCTTCGATATCATCGGTACACTGCATATCAGGAACAACTATGTGCAAAAAGCTTCCGTAATTTCAAATCTATTATGGATGTAGTAATAACACGTGTCAATTTCTGCAGAAAGCAAGGTCTCAACCACGGCAGTTTGAAGTATTTTTCAAAGACCTGGAAGCAAGTTAGGCTTTTATTGTGTTACGCGCTGGTTAAGCTGCGCAAAAGTGCTAAAGATTTTTTTTTGAAATCATTGACGACGTTGAGGTGTTTATGCAAACGAGATTTTTACGACGCCATCTTCAGTGCTTTTCGAAACAGAACCGCCGCAGTTCCAAATGGAGCTGATTAAGCTTCAATGCGATACGATCCTTGAGGATAGATACTACCACTACAATAGTAATTTAATTTCGTTTTATCAAGGTGTTAAGCAGCAAGATTTTCCCAACATTCTTGCACTGGCCTATGAAACTTGCTCCATGTTCGGTAGATGTTTTCTTTAATGAATTTGAACAAAACTAAAAACAGGTCTTTGTCTGATGTGTCCTTAGAAGCGATACTCAGAATTTCCACTGCTCAAGCCACTGTACCAAATATTAGAAAACTTGTTGAATCGAAACGCTGTCAAAGCTCATCTTAAGAATAAATGTGTTTACGTCTAAATTATGAACACTATTTTATCACCCGCGCGTTGACTCTTATCAGACCAATTCAAATGTCAATACGAATGTCACTCATTTTCCGTTGGGACTGGGAGCCGGCGAAATTAAACCTTATCGCGGATTCGACTAACCTTAGTAATAATATGTAGTTTTCAAGTAAATGAACAAAACGGGCTTGGTATGCCGATGAAGGTACCTGTCATATCGACTTGAAGATACAACGTGATGGTAGGATTTTACCATAACCTATACGTATATCAACGGTCATGACGTTTCATATTCATTTTACATATACTCTCAATCATCTAGTAGCCTGGTGTCAAACTGACAGACTCAAATGAACTTTTTAGGCCCGTATCGTCAGTCGTCCCTACAAGTGTAGGGCGCCTTTATGGCCTCCTTGATTGTCATAGTTTTTTGTACTTCTCCGTGTCAGCGCTCTATTTTGAGGTTATGTCACAAACATCTATTTGCATCAAATTGTGCTTGCTTTTGAGTTATATCATGTTTTATCAGCCTGAAATTTCCTACAATTTAAAAAGAAAACATATCTTCACAATAGGAGAGCGCTGACACAGGACAACTGTAATCTAGAAATTTTTGAAGGAGAGAAAGGGGTATGACAATCAAGGAGGCCATAAACGTGCACTACAATTGTAGGGACGACTGACGATACGGGCCTAAATGCAAGCATGAAGCATACAAACAGGATGCATTATTTTTACCTATTTGCATTGCCTGCTATAGCTTTCAGTCGGTACGACAGAAACTTCTGTCGGAAATCAGTTTGTCATACCATGTTTTTCCAAATTCGCCTAAAATTTCCATCAAACCTTGTAGGCTTCATTGGATTCGGTGATGACGGTGAAATTCTCTTGTCACGCTGTATCTTTAAGTCGGTATGACAGGTACTTCTGGCAGGATGAGCTCTTCTTGTTCATTTACTTAAACACTACATATTATTACTACATTTAGTCGAATCCGCGATCAAGGTATACTCAATGCCACCAGCACCCGGGCCATTTCTATTCGCAGGGTGCTACGGTTAGCACAACACCTTCCTCGCGATGCGTATGCCGCTGCCGAATCTCTCCCCCACCTTCACGGAGTCACACTGCAGCACTGTGCTGCGAGCGGTGCTCGGCGTTGCACTGGTAGCACCTGAGTTGGAGAGGCCTGGCTTACTGGATGGTTCAAAATGATGACACCAATATTCGTCGCCAGCAATTATTATTGACGAAATAAACTGATTACCGTTTTGCTTGTATTCCGTGAGATCCTGTAAAGATTCGCAAACTTTTTTAGCCCTCTGACAAAAGGCGAGGAACGCATTTGTATGCGATACTATGGACAGTCCTATACTTACACCAACATTTTCTGAAATTGCTCGGATTGATTCGACGATTTTCCCTAAGCATGCCTTCCATAGGTGCCTCATTCCTGTCTGTTGATGCAGTACTCAATGCACCTGGTCGCGGCTTATCATTCGTCTCCTCTCTTCCATTCTTAAATTTTCGGCACCATTCCTTGACAGTTGGATTTGCAAAACGCGTTTTCACACACTGCTTGCATTCCCGTATGAATTTGCAATGGTTGCAAACCTTCAGCACACAAAAATTAAATTACCGCACGCTGATTATATCTGGAGGATTGTTAGGTCACAATACTTAAAATCGCAGTCAAATGCAAATGACAGGAACTGATCAGTGTGACGTTTACAAACACAACATTGCAAAACGTCAGTTAAGTGATTAGAATTGTTTTCAAGGCTAATCTGGCCAAAGATGGGTTTCAATTGAACAAGCCTCGTATTTATTACAATAAAAAGTTGTGCCATAATTGTAGGAGTATACAGGGTGTCCCAGAAGTCGAAACCGGGTGATATGCAAAGTCATACAGCTATCAGAAAAATATTTAAAAAATTTTTTGTATGTGTTTTGAAAATTATAGGTCTTTGAAAAAGATATAGAAATTTCACACCCTACGGCAGTCTGTCAACTCCTGTTACTACAAATATTAACTTTTTTGGATTTTATTTTTACAATGTAATGATGAATAATGCATCTTCAAACTGGTGTCTCAACCTTACTGCCAACTTTTCTCGTTCAGGAAAAATTGCCACTTATTTCCCAACCAAGTATTCCAAAGTAAAACTTTGCTCAACTGGCTGTACTCCATCCATACCACGTACAGCGTGTTCAAGCTCTTCTGCCCCGGGATTATGAGCCCCGAGTTGCTTTTTGTCGCACAATGTTAGAAAGACACAGGGAAGATCCACAGTTCTTTGAAAAAATTTTATGGTCAGATGAGACCACATTTAAGAAAGATGGGTACATGAACCTGCATAACTTACACGAGTGGCACGTAGCAAACCCACATTTGATGAGAGAAGATAAATCTCAATATCGCTTCAAGATAAACCATTGGACAGGAATTTTAAATGGTATAATAATCGGTCCGTTTGAGTTCCCAGAGACTTTGACTTATGATGTTTATTTAGGTTTTTTGCAAAATCATTTAGAAAATTTATTGGAGGACGTGCCACTGAGTATTTAGGGACATGTGGTTTCAGCATGATGGCTGCCCAGCGCACTATGCACTCTCAGTGAGAGAGTATCTCGAACAAAACTTTCCAGGCAGATGGATAGGGCGGTCTGGTACAATACCGTGGCCAGCCCGGTCACCAGATTTGAATCCGTTAGATTTTTTTTACTGGAGAACTGTAAAAGAAAAAGTGTATTTCAAGCCGATTCAAAATGTAGCTGAGCTACGGCAAAGGTTATTGGAAGCAGCCGAGTTTGTTAATTACCGTGGATTCGCTCGTTTAATAACCCGATCTTTTTTAAGATGTCGAGCGTGTTTGAGCATTTGCTGTAAAGGTAAATCATCATCAGCAGCATTTTGACGCCTACTGTTGTGCAAACAGTTATCCTTAAGGGTCCTTGTGCGTTTTCATAATCGCTGTTTAATTAGGAAATTTAGAAAAATTTTCATCAGTTTTTTTTCAAATAAAAATTGTGCATAAGTTAACGAATAATCTTCTAAGTGTTATACCATTTTGGAATCCTTATTAAATGCGCCAACTTTTAAGGTTACTTGCCAAACTCTCGTAGTACATTTTTTCCAGTACTGCCAGTTAAAGTTGAGCAAAGTTTTACTTTGGAATACTTGGTTGGGAAATAAGTGGCAATTTTTCCTGAACGAGAAAAGTTGGCAAAGGTTGAGACACCAGTTTGAAGATGCATTATTCATCATTACATTGTGAAAATAAAATCCAAAAAAAGTTAATATTTGTAGTAACAGGAGTTGACAGACTGCCGTAGGGTGTGAAATTTCTATATTTTTTTCAAAGACCTATAATTTTCAAAACACATACATAAAATTTTTTTAAATATTTTTCTGATAGCTGTTATGACTTTGACTATCACCCGGTTTCGGCTTGAGCTATATTTCATGCACTGTCTCATCATCGCTATTTCCCGTTCGTATTCGTTTGCCTTGCAGTTTCTGGCTGGGTTGACAGTACATAGCCGGTCTCGTCATTTACACCTTATATGATGGTGGGATAGTATAGTTTAGTGGTAACATACTGCATACTTATTTTTCAGCTGGAGAAATGGAGAGAACCACCTAATCTTCAACATGGTAGCTGGCAGCTCTCCAGACTTTTCACCTGTGATAGAACTAGAGTTAGGCAAAGCCATGGTCGCTGGCGCTGGCTTTGACACTTACACATTTAGACCGTACTTTGACATTTCGTTACCTGTGTTCAGCCCAGTTGCCAAGATTGGGGAAGTCGGAGATACTTCACATGAAAGGTTTGGGAATATTTTATCTTCTTGAATTCATACAGATATCATAAGGGTGTATATTTTCAGACAATCATTAATTCTAAGTGCTTGATTTAGATTCCGTGATTTCAAAGAACATACTGTCATTTTCAGTTTCACCACAAGGGTTGTAAAGTTTTAAGTTTTAGGGATACGAAATCAGGATTTAAATCAATCGATTTTTTCAATTTTAATCGTGATTTAAATGAAATTATAAATTGCTGTAAAAACAAGTCCAGAAACAAATAACTTAAGTTTAACTCATCAGGAAATTGGAAAAAGGAAGATAGTTTGTGTAACACTAAGAGTTTACATACATTATTTATTTATATTTCATATTTCCTACAGGTAAAACCCAATTACAGGAAAAGCTCAAGTACATTAACAAGAAAATAAAGAGACACATTGAAAACTTAAACTTAGCACCAATTGGCCTAAGTAAGCTCAGAGAACAATCGATAACTTATAGCAATTTATAATTGATTTACAGCTGTTATTACAAATATCACACAGATCACAAATAGAGTTCATCAGACTGCACATTACATAAATTGGAGATTTCAACATCACGTTCGTCCGGCCTGCTTGACAATTGGTTGTTGACGACTTTTTCAAGTAAATCCGGGCAGTCAGTTTGATTGTGCATAAGGCCATATAAAAACGATAAGGCAAACATCATACGTTTAATTGATAGTGAATCTAAATCGAAAAAATTCAAAAGGATATGATGACAGAAACCTCTTTCTGGATAAGAACCAGTACGTTTCAGGTAAAAATACTTAATAGCCTTACGTTGAATGCCTTTAATCATTGGAAGTGGATTTTGGAATATTGGAGACCAGATCAGGGTTGCATATTCCGGCTTGCTTCTGACAAAAGTCATTAAAGTACTGACATTGGAGAACCCCTCCAGTTTCTGATACAGAAGTCAAGTAGTCTGGTGGCAGCCGATGAGATATTAAGTATATGTTCGCTAAACATTAGCCTGCTATCTAAGGTTACTCCAAGGTCCTTAAAAGAGTAGCATCTGTCTAGAACCTGACCGTTGATGTTATAATCATCATATATTAAATAATTATTCTTTCTTGTATAAGACACAAGTTTACGTTTAGAATCATTTAAACTAAGACAGTTTCGCGAGCACCATGGATAAATTAAGTCTAAATTATCCTGCAGCATGAGGCTATCATCAATTGACCGATGCGTAAATCTTAACGTCATCAGCAAAAAACAGATGCAAACACTTGAGCTCAAGGACAAATCGTTAATAAAGATCAGGAACAATAATGGGACTAGATTCGATCTTTGAGGCACCCCAGATGTGGCCTGATAATAACTCGACCTATAACCACCATATTCAACAAACAACCTTCTGTCCATCAAGTATGAACTCAGGAGCGACAACAGTCCCTCAGATAGAGCTACGGTCCTAAGCTTATCCAGAAGTACATAATGATCAACTTGATCAAATGCCTTCTGAATATCTGTATAGATTACATCAACTTGCCCCCGAGTGTCTAATACTTGGGAGATATACTGATTGACAGAGATTGCACCCTTGGCCGACCAGTAAACCGTATTATAAACCATGATCTCAAACAACTTACCGAAGTTGCATAGAATTGCTATTTGTCGGTAGTTGGAAACATCTGCGATATCACCAGTCTTATGAATGGGACATATTTTAGTGGTCTTCCAGATATCTGGGTATGTCCCTAATTTAAGAATTAGGCTAAATACTGAAGCCAACAGTTTAGCCAGTATGTGAATACAATATCTGACAAGGAAACTTGGGATACCATAACATCCAGATGTCATTTTTTTCTTTAGTCTTTTCGAGGCCATGATAACATCAACTTCACTTATACAGGGTGTTCCAGTTTATTGTTGCATAACTTTAGGATTCGATAGAACTTTTAAAATTAATGCATAAAGTCTATATAAACATGGGTCGAAAAATGTGTGGCTTCCGAAATACAGGGTGTTTAAATTTACTTTCTAAAATAGTTTTTTTTTTAAATATTTCGAACAATATTTGATGTATAACAGTGAAAATTGGTATACAAGGGTTTTTTGTTTTACTGTAGCCGCTAGAGGGCGCTCTCTACTGTACCTGTAGTGTATTAAAATGACCGAAAAAATTTTCTTAGTGCAATTTTTTGCTTTTTGAATAAAAAAACTGATTCTTCGCACTTTTCAACATAAAAAAGCTCTCTTGTGAATTTTCGTTATAGTTAGCCGTTTTTGAGATATTTCGATTTTTAAGGTTCGATGCATTTTTAATTATTTATGATAAAATAACGTTAAAAAGTCAGTATCTTGATAATTTTTAGAAGTAGGCTGCGCCTGCAAATATTTTTGAAATTGAAAGCAGAATAAGGTTAAACGTCAATTAGTTGACAGTTAGTTTTGTTGTCTGTTGAAACCTGAAACGTTTTTTTGCAATTGTGAATGCACGAAATTTAGTTTCTTTTACCTGTTTTTTTTTGTAAGTTTTATAAAAATGCCATTTTTATTCTCCAATCAAGAGTTAGCGGATATTCATTTTGTGTATGGCTTTGTAAATGGAAACGCAGCAGAAGCAGCCAGAGAACACGCACGAAGATTTCCAAATAGACGACATCCAACTCGTTCAGTATTTGTAAGAGTGCATCGCCGAATAATTGAAAATAGTTTTGGAAATCTCCAAAGGGATCAAAACATAAATGTTCGTCAGCGCAGATTTACCCGTATGATTCTGCGTGAGTTTGATAGAGATCCGACCACAAGTGTTAGGAGAGTTTCTGGTGCCTTGGGAATTTCAGCAAGCCATGTTCACCGTGTTCTTAGAAATGTCCATAGACGTCCCTACCATTTGCAGCCTGTGCAAGGACTACAGCCAGGGGACGGAGAACGAAGATTCACATTTTGTCAGTGGATTCTTGATAGAACTGATAATAATAGGGAGTTTTTCAGTAACGTTTTATGGACCGATGAGTCATGCTTCACTAGACGTGGAGTGGTAAATTTTCATAATCAACATATTTGGTCGCATGAAAATCCGCATGCAGTTCGGGAAAGAAATTTTCAGCATGAATTTAGTGTGAACGTGTGGATTGATATCTACCGTAATCGACTATTTGGACCCTACCTTTTGCCTGCAGGGTTAAATGCTGCGACCTTCTTGGAATTTTTAAAGGCTGAACATGCAAATATGTGGGATGATGTTATGTTAGATTTAAGAAGATTGGCCTGGTTCCAGCTTGATGGTTATCCAGCTCATTATTCGAGAATAGTTAGAAACTGGCTGGACGAAAATTATCCAGAAAGATGGATCGGCCGTGGAGGACCAGTCGCCTGGCCTCCAAGATCCCCTGACCTAAATCCATTAGATTTCTTTGTGTGGAGATTTCTAAAAGAAAAAGTGTACCAGACTCCCGTAACCACAAGAGATATGCTAATAGACAGAATCAGGAATGCATGTGATGAAATAAGGCCTTATTTGAACAATGCTATACCACGTTCGATCATTCGTAGATGTGAATTGTGTATTGAACAATTGGGTTTACATTTCGAGCAACTACTTTAGATTTTGAATGTTTGTCCTAACTATCCAATAGCATTGTAGTTGTACATAATTAATTTAATTTGTTAAAAATAATATTGGAAAATTAAACAAATTAATATTCTGTTTTTTCGTGTTTATTTGGAGTTAGGAATTATTGCTGTGTTTAAAAACACAATCTAAACGATCATCTTAATTACTTGTAATGCCCAAATCGAAAATGTAAAAAAAATATTATTTACCCATAAATAATTAAAAATCGAAATATCTCAAAAACTATATAGAAAACTCACAGGAGAGCTTTTTTATGCAGAAAAGTGCGAAGAATAAGTTTTTTTATTCAAAAAGCAAAAAATTGCAGTAAGAAAAATTTTTCGGTCATTTCAATAGACTATAGGTACAGTAGAGAGCGCCCTTTAGCGGCTACAGTAAAACTATGCCCATGGTTCGTTTGGTCGTACCAAAAAAACGTGTATACCAATTTTCACTGTTATACATCAAATATTGTTCGAAATATTTGAAAAAAACTATTTTAAAAAGTAAATTTAAACACCCTGTATGTCGGAAGCCACGCATTTTTCGACCCATGTTTATATAGACTTTATGCATTAATTTTAAAAGTTCTATCGAATCCTAAAGTTATGCAACAATAAACTGAAACACCCTGTATAAATGAGAGAAATTGAAATTATGGAAGTTTAAAAACGTAACTAATCCTCACCAGTCCAAGTAAATATTCATAAATTAAAAGAATACACAGTTTACAACAAAAAAACATCTGTTTCGTGCTATTTGGCAACCCCTCAGAGTCGTCTCCGTGGACAACAAACGAAAGCTGAGTAACTCTACTCTATGCAGACTATAAGGTTTATCGAAATAAGTTACAACAGAGAGTCCCATCTGTTACCAGAATCGACCACTGCGAAAGTGAAAACAGCAAGATATTTGTTGGAACTCATTGTCACAGTCAATATGTTAGGAAGTCAATTGTACCTATAGAGGAATCCCAAGTGATTTCGAAGTTTGGTTTGTACCATACCAAATGTTCAAAACACTCTTTCAACAGATGCTGAAGAAGCTGTAGCAGATAACAGTTGTTTAATTGTGGGCAGTGCTTTTTCAGTAGTATCGGCATTCTGTTGGGATTTCACCAACTTAAGGCTTTTACGGTTTTGAGAATGACTTTGTGAAACATTATGTCGGTAAAAGGATCTGATTTTGCCAGGAGTTGAATAATTAGTGGCAAGAACCCACTAGGAAGTAGTTCTTTTGCGCCTCTCAAAGCACACCTCTTTTCCTGGTCTGCTAATAGATGTGGTTTTATCGGATCAAGAAGATATGCTAACAGAGATATGGAGTGATTTTTCGTATTGGTCTCTAAATTTTGGTATTTGACTTATAGTAAAATATGTCTTTTCAAACGCTGATTCGAGATCTTTGAATACTCGCATGATATCAGAAAGGGATTCAACTTTGAAGCCTATCAATGGGAACAGAAATAGGCATTAGAATCGCTGAATCGACTCCAGAAAATATTTTCTAATAAATATTTGGAATTGACAGCCGCGACACGCGATATTGAAATTCTTTATTCATGTCACAATACATAAAATATGCTTACATACGTCAGTAGATCAAATGAGAATTGCATTAGAATTAAAACAAAGGGAGTGCTAATGATCATAAAAAAATACAAACAAGTACACCAGCACTCATAAAGATATAACGCTAACATAACATATACTATACATATAAATCCGAACACCCAGTTTAAATGGTTTAATTTTAATAAAAGTTGGTGAATGTATTTATCTCACTGTAAATAACAAGTGAAAAAATTTTCAGCCTTATCAGTTGGACATTCCGGTTTTTATACTGCTTTTTTTTAATTCACTAACGCTCTAAAAATGAATATTTCAGCCGCAGTAAAGAATCAACGTTGGCGGATTTTGGTTCTTGACATCCTTTACGATCGGTTACGATGCCTAGAGTACGGAGACCTGTACGATTTCGTCAACTTAGTGAGTTTGATAGGGGCCGTATAGTGGGACTTCGGGAAGCTGGACTTTCTTTTCGGGCAGTTGCAGTTAGAGTGCAAAGAAGTGTAGACACTGTGGTTAGGTGTTGTCAGGCATGGCTTCGAGAAGGCCGTACGCAAAGAGCAAGGGGCACTGGATGCCGCCGTAGAACAACAGACCGTGAAGATCGCCGCCTAAGATTATTGGCCTTAAAGGACCGTTTCTCCACTACCAGGTCCATTGCAAATGAATGGTTTGCAGAACACGGAAGACATATTGGCATGCGAAGTGTTTACCGACGAATGAGAAGTTTTGGTTTGTTTTCATACCGGCCACACTGGGACCTCCTCCCTTTAACTCGAGAACACCGACGTAATCGCCTTGAGTGGTGCGGACAACGGTCACTCTGGGATCAGGTATGGAACAGTATTGTCTTTAGTGACGAGTCTCGATTTTGTTTAGGCATGCACGATGGTCGTGCCAGGGTTAGAAGGCGACGTGGTGAAAGGAGGAATCCACAGTTTTTTGTTGGAGTTATGGTTTGGGGTGCTCTAGCTTATGGTTCCAGGTCACCTTTAATCTTCATCAGAGGTAACATGAACGCCCAGCGTTATATCCACGAAGTTCTAGAACCCCATCTTTTACCCTATCTTGACACCCTGGCAGATCCAACTTTCCAACAAGATAATGCCCGACCACATGTTGCAAGAGTCACAATAGACTTCTTTCAACATAATGATGTCACATTGTTACCATGGCCACCAAGATCTCCCGACTTATCCCCAATTGATCACGTGTGGAATATGATGGGTAGGAGATTGCTCAATTTGCAACGTCCTCCTCAGACTCTAGAAGCACTTCGAGAGGAGTTGGTGGTTGCCTGGAATGAGATACCACAGGAGGACATTGACCACCTGATCAGAAGCATGCCTAGGCGCGTTGGAGAATGCGTAGCACATCAGGGTGCATCAACACATTATTAAAGGTCAAAGGGCTTTAAAGCAGTGCAGTTATTTTGAAATTTTTATCATTTACTTATTATGCTTCATTAAGTGCTAATAAATTTTTTTATTAAAATAAAACCATTTAAACTGGGTGTTCGGATTTATGTCACTTAGTATATTAAGATTTATAGTTAAAATTTGTCTTAAAAACTCTTCAAACGTGTAAAATGAGTTATTAATAAGAATTTTCTTGATTTGAACTTTAAAATCTTTAAACGGAAGCGATTTTAAGCCGTTTGGAAGTACGTTAAAAAATTTGACCGCCCAATAACCAGGTCCATCTTGACACCTTCTCAGTCGCCAATAAGGAGGTACTAGATTGTTTATATGCCTAGTATTGTGCTCATGAACGTCCCCATGAGTTACATAGTTAGAGTTTCTTTTAACGAATAGTAGATTTTCAAAAATATATAAACAAGGCACAGTAAGGATTCCCAACTTGACAAAGGTATCTCTGCAATCGTCCCTGTAGCCCAAACGGCTCACAACCCTAACTGCTCTTCTTTGCAAGGCGAACAATCTATGGACCCCTGAAGAATGCCCCCAAGCCAGAATGGCGTAGGATATATGTGAATGGCAAATTACAAAGTAAGCCATTCTCAATATGGCTACAGAAACACAAGAAGACAGATACATGTCAACACAAGTTTTTTTATGTCGCCAAGGAAATCTTCTTGCTGTAAATTATTGCCATATTTAGCGAAAAGTACAAATTAATAGAAATGAAAAAAAATCATGATTTTTTGCATCACTGCTTCTTGGGAAATCATTTATCATCAGCTGGACCGATATTACGTAGGTGAGGCGCGGACTTGCAAACCTGAAACTGATGTAGAAATAAAACAATTATGATTTAGTAAAATATCAGATATTTTGATTATTTCAAAAATATCGTGTTTTTGAGCAACACTGTTAAGTTGTCAATGTATGGTGATCGTAAACTTCAATTCAAGGTCATTACTAAAATATTAGAAATAATACATTATACATCAATAAATAGTGATATTTTACGAGATCTGTAAATTAAGTGATTCGAGTTTTTTATTTTCTTATTCGAATATAATTTCAATTTTATATTGTCACCCTCAAAATAACTTTCTTTTGAAGACACATAGCGCTGAAGACAGTTCCTCCACTCTTCATAGCAGTGCTGGAACTCCGATACTGGAATAACCTTCACCTGGTGTTACAGCCGTTTGAATGTTTTCGACGGTGTCCCAAAATGTGTACCCTTGAGATGATTTTTCGACTTCTGGTAGAGAAAAAAGTCACAAGGACTCAAGTCATGCGAATAAGGAGGCTGAGGAGCCACAGGAATGTGTTTTCTGGCCAAAATCTCGTTTATTCACATTGCTGTGTGACAACGAGCATTGTCGTGATGCAACACCCAGTTGTTTGTGATCCGCTTAACTCTTCCGCGATCATTCTGATTGACAACAGAGGATCTGAACGTTCAAGATCCCGGATTGTGTCGATATTTTCATCGGTTCTTGAAGATGAAGGCCTTCGGGTGACGTCGTTCATCTTCAATCGACCCCGTTAGCCACCGAAAAACCTGGGCTCTTGACAAAACACCATCTCCGTAGGTCTGCTGAACCACACCGTTGCTCGAAATTGGTGTCACTCATTTTTAGAACACAATGAAAAACAACTGTTCCACAAAAAAAAAGTTACGGACAACTAAATGACTCGAGCGGGTTCAAGCGTGTACTGAAAACGGATCACGTGTCTCCCTGTCCCCTCTCCAAGCACGACCCCTCCAGTTTTGCCAGAACGATCGCTGCGTTACCAGCGTCATCACTTAATTTATAGACCTCGTATTTAATTTCATTTTAGCATTTTAAAGTTTCATTTTGTCAACATATGGTGACTTATTTAAGGTCATTACAAAAAATAATTCATACTCCTCTATAATACTGATATTGCATATACTTTTATTTAAATTCTTCTTTAAGGTCGTGGCTGGTGACATCTTCTCAGCTGAACATCGATCCGTACTTTCTGACAGAAATGCAGAAGTTGTCATATCAACACGAGGACACCTTACTTCTTTTAGATGCGTGCCATCCACACAAATATGCGCGACGATGTGATCTCAATACTGGAAAGCAGTACAGGTATCCACAGGTAAACAAAATTTCGTTTACTATCAATACAGGTGGTATTTTGATATGTACACTATATAGCATTGAAGTTGTTCAATATCAGTGGTGGTACATCAATCTGGAAATAAGGATAGAAAAAATTACAACCTGTAGGGGGTATTTGAATATAATAAATTGAATAATGATATTAAACAGAGTTCGAATTTAAAAATGTTTAAGGTGAAATTAAAAAATCTCTTTATGAATAATCAAAATACATAGTGACGTAATATTAATTTTAATAGACAAGAATGTAAAATTACAGAAAATGGATTGAAGAAAAATATGTAACCGAATCATTATACAAAATTGACATTGTAGCATTAATGCTAAATAAATCTTCAACAGCAAAAAAAAATATACAGACTGTAACAAAAGTTTTTAACGCATCGAATATCTGACGAATTACTTATCCATTTTTTTTTAAATTGTTAGGTTTAGGTTCGAATCCACGGCGGATCAATTGCTGATATCCGCGATGTTGAAAAATCTACAGTTTTTCCGAAACTGACAGTAACTTTTTATTCGATATTTGTATTTTGCGAGAAATTCTGAATACTTTTTATTGAACATACTTTGACGTATACCTCAGATTATTTCACATTTAGATACAATTCATTTTTTGCAGGTGTTACGTGAAAGTTTGTTTTGTCTGGTGGTAAGAGGAGAAAGGATGGGGCAGATGGTGCTGTTAGAAGCCATGGCTGCTAACTGTATACCAGTTATAGTCATGGACGGCCATGTTATGCCATTCAGTAACGTGTTAGGTAAATATACTACTTTTAGTAAAATTGTTTGATTTTGGGCCATAAAAGGAAAGGGCAGATGTCAAGCATATTTGCGTTGACTGCTGTTTAAATGAAAGATCATTAAAGCCCCATGCTCATAGTGCATGCATAAGGTTAGTTACAAACATATCGAAACGTTTTATCATGAAACAGTGAATGGAGATATACTTCCACAATTTAAAAACAATAAAACGACAGAGGTAGAATAAAATATTGGATTTTTTTTGACATTATATTGTTTTTTTGTGACATTATGAAATTAAAAAAACGGACTTACCACTAACTGACTCAGCGTTTCACCTGGTGTGTAAAAGTTTATTCAACGTATTAAAAAAATCCACGTATAAATAGGGAACACAATTTTGATACATACATTGTTTTTCTTTTTAAAACCCACACTGCACTTTTTTGTATTTAAAGAAGGTGTTCAAAATGTCGTCCTCCACTTTCCACTCAAGCTTCAGTACGACGAACTCAGTTTCTTCTTACTCTAGGTCGTCGAAGTTGTCCATTTATTATTTCAACCGCATTAATTTTTTTTTCGCGAAGTTGTGCTTCAGTTGTTATTGGACCAGCCCCATAAACCATCCCTTTAAGTTCCCCCCAATACCATCGGATTGAGGTCAGGAGATCTTGAGGACCATTTTCAAGGATCAGGAGCATTTCGACCGATCCAGCGATTTGGGGGGGGGCGATGTGGGGTGGTGCCCCGTCATGAAGAAACCACAAATTCTGTCTCCCATGTAATGGCATGTTGTCTAAGGTCTGTTCCAAAAGTTCTGGTAGGTTATTGGCTAGAAAGCTAAGGTATCCTTCTCCTGTACAACTTTGGGGTAACTCGAAAGGTCCAATTACCTGATCGTCAAGAATACCCGCCCAAATATTTATTTTAAAACGTTGTTGGAAATGACATTCTCGAATGGTATGAGGATTTTCTTGGGCCCACGTATGAGTATTATGGAAATTGAATATCCCGTCTCGCGTACATTCGTGCGTCGCGAGAATGTTTAAAAAAAACGGATTTTCAATATTTTTGTGCAAAAACCACTGACAGAATGTTAGTCTGCGAAGATAGTCTTCTGGTAACAAGGCCTGCACTCGTTGTACATTGTAGGGATAAAGCAAATTTTCCCGTAGGATTCTATTTCTATTGATTTCTACGATATTTAAAATTTATTCCTCCTACTCTACGGTAACCTGTCTTTTACTAGTGCGAATATTAGTGGGCAGGTCACTTCCTGTATCTCGAAGTCTTTGGTACACTTGCACAAATGTCCTTCTGTCTGGGTGTACCCGTTGCCGAAATATGTCGCGATAAATGTGAGCTGCAAGATTTGAATTCTGACGAGCCTCACCGTAAACTAACAACATGTCGGCGAACTCTTGATTCGAGAACATTGTAAATAAACACGACGACGTACGCGAACAAAAACAAAACAACACGCCCGATGCTCTGCTCGACAAAACGCTAAAGTAATTTATCTATGCAAAAACGATAACTAACCACTGTTAAAGTTTGCGATCGATTGCCGGTTCGATAACAGTGATGAAAGACCGACGCGCTGTTGTCATGTGTATTTTAAATATTTAATTTAATGAAACTTACTTACTGAGTATAAATTTTGGCTTAACTTAGAAAAACTTAATGCCATTTATTTGTTAATTACCCAATTTAAAAACGTTTTAGATTAGATTATAAAAATTAGTAAGATTGTGGTGTTTGTGTTCGATATAATGCACTTAAAGTTGTAAACTATAAAGCCAGTTAGACAAAAATCTATTGAGTTTTGGACCATGGGTCATATGAACTTTTTGACTTGTTTTGACCTCCCTATTACCCATTTCAATAATGACTACCTTAACGTTTACACCCTATATATCGCTTATATTCATGTCCATTTTTACATTCTAGACTGGAAGCATTTTGCTGTATTTATAATGGAGGGCCACATAAATACTCTAATGGATGTGTTAAATGGCATATCTGAGAAACGGATCAGACAGATGCAAGCTAGCCTGTTGCATATGTACAGCACTTACTTTTCCAGTATGGAGAGGATTGCTCTCACGACTTTGGATATTATTCAGGATAGGGTATATCCTCACCATGGGAAGACTTATGACGATTACAATTTACGACCAGAAGAGGTGGGTATTCCGTTTATTTAGCTTTTCTAATTATTCTGCTACCTCAAAATGTTACTATTGTGTGTACATAACTTGCTTCTGGTTAATGGTCCGAGAGCTTAGTCCCAATTAAAAAAGGGATAGTGACAACTTACAACTTACTGGAAATATTCGTCAGAAACAGTGTTGCGACGATTTAAATCAATTGATGTTTTCAATTTTATTCGTGATTTAAATCAAATTATAAATAATAATAATAGTAATAATAATAATGTTTATTTGCAATATACAGTTAGGTGCAAATAGTAGCAAAATACATTTATATAAGATATGTTACAAAAAAGGGCTGAAGGCATTTAAAAATGATACAAGTTCAGCACTTTACCTATTACACATTCATATATATATATATATACATGCCCACACATCCGGATACGGGTGTCACCTGAGGAAACGAAGTTGGAGGGGAGGTTACACCCGTATCCGGATGTGTGGGCATGTGTATCTACTTTTGTAGTTTCATATGTGCATTCATTTCGGGCCTGATGAAGCCAACCAGCAGAAATACGTATCGCTCGGGTTACCTATCCTACTTTCTGCTCGATTCCACTCTCCTCCTTTTTGCGGATTTTGCCCATTATGTTCCTACTTTTTGTTATATACCTTTCTCCTCATGATCATTTTCTCTTTATATATACTAAGTGACATATAAATCCGAACACCCAGTTTAAATGGTTTTATTTTAATAAAATTTTGTATAAGTACTTAACGAAGCATAATAAGTAAATGATAAAAATTTCAAAATGATTGCACTGCTTTAAAGCCCTTTGACCTTTAATAATGTGTGGATGCACCCTGATGTGCCACGCATTCTCCAACGCGCCTAGGCATGCTTCTGATCAGGTGGTCAATGTCCTCCTGTGGTATCTCATTCCAGGCAACCACCAACTCCTCTCGAAGTGCTTCTAGAGTCTGAGGAGGACGTTGCAAATTGAGCAATCTCCTTCCTACCCATCATATCCCACACGTGCTCAATTGGGGATAAGCCGGGAGATCTTGGTGGCCATGGTAACAATGTGACATCATTATGTTGAAAGAAGTCTATTGTGATTCTTGCAACATGTGGTCGGGCATTATCTTGTTGGAAAGTTGGATCTGCCAGGGTGTCAAGATAGGGTAAAAGATGGGGTTCTAGAACTTCGTGGATATAATGCTGCGCGTTCATGTTACCTCTGATGAAGATTAAAGGTGACCTGGAACCATAAGCTATAGCACCCCAAACCATAACTCCAACAGTGTGATGAACATGTCTTTCAACAAAAAACTGTGGATTCCTCCTTTCACCACGTCGCCTTCTAACCCTGGCACGACCATCGTGCATGCCTAAACAAAATCGAGACTCGTCACTAAAGACAATACTGTTCCATTCCTGATCCCAGAGTGACCGTTGTCTGCACCACTCAAGGCGATTACGTCGGTGTTCTCGAGTTAAAGGGAGGACCCAGTGTGGCCGGTATGAAAACAAGCCAAAACTTCTCATTCGTCGGTAAACACTTCGCATGCCAATAGGTCTTCCGTGTTCTGCAAACCATTCATTCCCGTTTTTCTCTTTCCAAGTGAGGGCATACATTGTTTTGTTTTCCGTCATATGCTTATATTCGGATATGTTGTTCAGCAATAAAGATTTTTGTTGTAATGAAAAATGGGGGCTTTTTTCCAGCAGAACTCATGAAAAACAAATCTGTGCTAAATGAATGTTTCGCACCCGACTAATATTCGGGTTTCTGACACGATGATATGACAGCAGAAAAGTACGAGTAGGTTTCACTTGATGCGCAGTGCTCATTAGTGCAAAAGTAGAAATCCCTAAAAATATAAATGGTTACCAAGTAAATATTACGTTTAGCTAAGCACCGTTCAAGATGAGACGGTGCAACACTAATTCAATCTAAAGATAAGATTCACTTTGCTAAGTGATACATTTAAGAAAGCTGGTGCAAACAGCCATCAGTGATTAAATATTACTTCTATTATCGCTTTAAATATCCTTAACAAGCAGGGGTTCAAGAACACTATAAACATACAGCATAGAGAGTATATTTTGTTGATGATCAGATAAGAGCTTGAACGTTTTTTATACTTTCCAGGTTAACTTGAATCCGTTCTTTTTTCCCATTACTTCGCCGAAGTCACACGGATTTACGGCCGTCATTTTAACATATGATCGAATAGAGAGTCTTTTTACCTTGATAGAAAGGTTATCCAAAGTTCCTAGTCTTATGAAAATAATGGTTGTATGGAATAATCAGAAGAAGAGTCCACCTCCAAGTAAGTATGAAATATCTATTTTTGGTTTTTGATGTATAAGATTAATGTATTATTTGGCATTTTATTCTTTCGTCAGTAAACCATTATAGTATAATTAGTGGCATGTGATATTTTAAAAAGTGTTGTTTTTCTTTTTGACATTTTGTTATAAGCCTAATACTTTGTTGATGGATTTGTTTTTGAGGAAGTACGAATATTCACTGTTAAAAATACTTCATTTGGTAATTTGCGTTTTGCTCTCAATGTAAACCAGGTAGAACTTTGTTTGTTTAAGATTTATTTAGCATGATTGCTGCAATTATATTCTTACATATTACCAATTACATATCATTCAGATATTTAGAAAAAAACAAAATTTGCACCTCTAATAGTCTATTAAATATTCCTTTAATTTTCTTTTAAACATTTTTAAATTACAAGTAGACTTTATATCATTATTTAGTTTATTAAATTCAGGTAGTCCTTTCTGAATTATTGATTTGCTAGTTATATTACTATTGCAATTTTGTAAATGAAAATCGATATTTCCTCTTGAATAATAATTGTGGTAATGATTATTCATTTACTATTATATAATAAATTCTAACATTAATCGCCCGTGCTTGTCTGACCAATAAAACCACATGTATTGACAGATCTTCTTTTCTGTAGTAATCATTTCAATCACAAATGTGTTACAAGACATTGAAAAATTATTAGAATCCATAGTGCATGACCAATTAATGCAGTTTATAGAAGAAAACAAAATTTTAGTGGAGGCGCAAGAAGGCTTTCGAAAAAATATTCCACAGAAACGGCTTTCCAGTTGGTAACTGAGAATTGGAGAAGATATTTTGTTAGGTAAATTGAAGGCATACGGTATATCAGGAAGTGTTTTAGATTGGTTTAGAAATTATGTAAAAGGATGCAAGTTACAAAAGTTAATGACACTATTTTATCAAAAATTGAAAATATGTTGGGTGTTCCACAGGCCAGTATCCTGGGACCACTTCTTTTTATTTTATACATAAATTATTCACCTGCCATAGTCAAAAATGCAAAATTCATATTTTCGTCGATGACACTATGATTTATATAAGTACTAAAAATATTCAGAGTGGTATCTCTTATATAAATGAAGACTTGAAACTTGTCTCAAAATGGTTAGCATCTAACAGAATCAAATTAAATACAAGTAAAACGAAAGCTATGTTAATCGGAAAAAAACAATGTACAAATGTTCAACTGAATATTGATGGTGAAGATATTGAATTCATAGATAATTTTAAATACCTGGTGGTTTTTGTTGACTCTCGATTATTTTTTATATTCATTATGAAACCGTTATAAATAAGATTAGCAGTAAAGTGGGATATTTATCAAGAGTTCCTGGATGTCTGAGTTCATATAACAGAAAAATTATCCATAATACTCGTACCATCATTCTTCCAAATTTCTTGTACTGTTCGACTATTCTATATTTAGCAAATAATTCCATTTTTGATAGACTGCAAATTTTACAAAACAAGTGCATGAGAATAATACTGAATAAAGATAAATATACTCCAGTTAGACAAATGCGTAGCAAATTAAAATGGCTCAATCAAAAAATTTTTATCAAATATCTTGTAATGATATTCATTTATAAAGTAAAAAATAATATATTTCCATCAAGTCTAACTAATTTAACATCATCAAATGTCGACCATCATTTACATAATACCAGAAATAAAGATGACTTCCATTTAATGACCAAAAAGTATAACATATGCTACAAATCTGTATTCCATCAAGGCTTGATTGAATATAATAAATTATACTCAGAGATAAAAGACCAAACAAAATTTAAAGTAAAATTGGGGAATTACTCGTTAAATCTACAATTATAGGTTGCCCAGCATTTACATCATATGGCTTGAATTTACTAATTCGAAGTTGTTTACAATTATTCTGTTTATGTAGCCAAATGTGCTAAATAAATCTTTCTACTACTACTACTACTACTACTACTACTACTACTACTTCTACTACTACAATACAAATTAGGTAGACTACAGTTAACACTCGCTCCTGATTCCTGATACCACTGTTAACAGCGCCATCTGACAATTGCGCCCAACAGTAACCCATAACAAACGAATCTAAATCGACGATCGTTTACAGGATTCTGATCTGTGATGCTTGCCCTCTCTGTTGTCCATGTGTTACATTATTATTAACAACTGGATATGCTAACATAAAAAATATATATTCGTTATAGGAATTAGCCATTAAAATATATCGTTTCCAAGTTTTCATCCACTTGTATTATGTAAAATAACGTACAACATATAATAAGCATGTAATACATTTAAAAAATGCGTCAAGTGGATTGATAGGTACCTATACAGGGTGTTAATTAAGTTTGCATAATAAATTTATCAGACGACTCTTTGAGTAATTATAAGACATAAAGTTCATATAAACATAGGTCCGAAAATTCTTCAATTCTCTCAAGATACAGGGTGTAAAAATTAAAAAAAGGGTTTTTCGTACACCCTTTGCCTAATTTTGTTGCAATTTGGCGGTGGTATTTACAACATTAAGGAGCTAATTTAGCTCTAACTTGATTACATTTATTAAGTGCAGTTGCGTCTCGAGCGGGATTTGAACGAATATTTGTGACAAAAAAATGTACATAGTCAAGAGTTTATTTGGTGGATTCAAAGTTTGTTACAAATCTCGATTTTCCATTTCTAATCATATAGTCACTGTTGTATAACTCCAAACACAACAAGAGGTGTGAAATTCGAAAATGTGTGGAGTTTAAAAATCGGGAAACTGCTGTTGCAACATGTTAACTAGAAATGCCACAATACTTATTTGATCAGGCTAACTGGCTCAAAGTGAACCCTGCTCTAGAAGACATAATACAGAAGGATTTTTTCACAAAATACATGAGGTTTTATTGACCAGTCAAGCATGGGGGTTAGTTTCAGATGTTACATAAAATTATAACATATTTTTAAATATTTATAAAAGCACTTGTATGGAGGGTTTCCACATTTTTTGTTTTTATAAATATCAACCACCGTTTTGATTCTTTATATTCCAGTGTCTGAATTTCCTAAAATACCAAAACCAATAAATGTGATACGAACGAAAGAGAACAAATTATCCAATAGGTTTTATCCATACAAGCAGATAGAGACGGAAGCTATTTTGCATATTGACGACGACATTGTGATGTTAACATCGGACGAAGTAGAGTTTGCGTATGAAGTGTGGAGGGAGTTTCCAGATCGAATAGTTGGTAAGAATTGTTTGCTAATAAGGTTTAAAAAAGTGAGGAAGCATTTGTAACATGTAAACTCCATGAACGACGACATACAGTTTTTATAAATGCCGCAAACATTTTGAAGGTGTTCACTCAGTTAGTGTGGACAATAGGTTTATATGTTCATAATATTGAAAATACAGTTATTAAAAATGGTGTTAAGCAGGTTACAGTACTTCGCACACAATTCTGCCATCAATAATTATATTATGTCTCTAATCAAGTTCCTGTATATCGTGTGTACAGGGTGTTTCAAATTCGACCCTCACCATTGGGATCTCGGGCAAGAGACGAAACGTCATATTGAAATTCCAATTACGACATCTCGTAGAGGAGAAAATGTGGCAATGTTAACATTCAATTTATTTTGGAATCCCATCTCAAATAAAGTCAGGAAAAAATTAAAGGATTTATATATATATATATATATATATATATATATATAGGGTGTCCACAAAGTTGGGGTTTTCCATCTCAGAAACAACTACCCTTGAAATAACAAAGGTAATGTGTAGTGAAACGAGGGCGACCAAGTAAAAAAGAAATAAAGGAAAAAGTACTCACTCTCCAGTTGACGAGAAGGGCTAAGTACGTCTCTGCCCGAAATCATACCGCTCCAACAGAAAATGAAATCAGCTGATGAGCATACCGTTCACCATGCCAGCCCAAACATTAACCGAAAATGTTTGTTGAAAATGTGCCCGACGGACAGCGTGCGGATTTTCTACTGACCAAACATGAGTGCTGCGAAAGTTATTCACCCCATTACGCGTGAACGTAGATTCGTCTGTCACCAATATGCACTTCAAAATGTCCGGATTATTGTCATGTTGATGCAATAACCACTCACAAAACCGCACTCTTGCTGGAAAATCGTCAGGTTGAAAAGCTTGTACACGTTGGACGTGAAACGGATACAGCCCCTCTTCACGCAGCGTTTGTCACACTTTAGTTTTTGATACTTGCACTTCTCTAGCCACGTCTCTAGTGCTTGTTGTTTTTTGAAACGCAATCGATTATACGAGTTCGTTTACCTCTACACGCGTGACCGTAACCGTCGGTTGAAGGTTGCATACTGACCTGACACACTGACCCCGACCCCCGACCCAGTTCTGTCGTCGGGTTGAGCTAGTAGCCGGTACCAGTTGGGGATATCGCAAGTCGCGGCTACAGGACGGTATTCAGATATTTTTGATGTTGCAGAGCCCTTTATCTCGGTTCTCTTAAGACATTGGTGTATATGGTACTAAGAAAAGTTGCTTATGTTTTCAAGATCTACACGTCGTGTAAAGGAAAACCCCAACTTTGCGGACACCCTATATATATATATATATATATATATATATATATATATATATATATATAAGAATATAGAATAGACGAAACGTAAGGAGAAAATGTTAATGTGCAGTTTATTTTGAAATCTTGCTACAAATAAGGTCAGGAAATTTTTTCCGTCTCTCTCCGAAAGTACAGTGGATTTCGAAACTTACTAAGCAGCATTTTGTTGATTATCTAAATACGCAACTTTGCCCCCATTTAAGCGACTTCGTTACAGTTTCGGAGGTCCCAATGGTGGTGGTATACACTAGTTATATAAAATATTGTCATATTAAACAACAGGCATGAACTTGTAACTTCAATATTAAAAAAATATAAACATTATATTCTGTTATATATAAAAGCCGTATTAAAATCCGCCTCTGTTCGACTCCATGCGTGTTGCTTATTTACTAGCGAAACTCTTAAAATTTATCTTATTTGCATCTGAGCATAGTACGGAGCTACAGGCGGTGGAAAAAAATGTAATAAAAGTCCTACAGAAATCGAAATAATAAAATAATACTTACTTATAAGTGCTGTTCAAAATTGTTTCCATTGACTGCAATGCAGGCTTGGGCGCGTCTAATCCAATTTCGGCGCACTAATTCAAATACACCTCCTTCCTGCTGTGCCTTAAGGCTCAAATTATCGGTAGCCGCTGTGATTCGCTCACGCAATTCTTCAATATTCTCAACTGCAGTACGGTATACCTTGTCTTTCAAATATCCCCATAAAAAGAAGTCCAGAGGATTTAGATCGGGAGACTGTGGAGGCCATGCAATTGGTCCATCCCTTCCGATCCAGCGTATCTGCTATACCTGATTAAAAAAATCACGAACTTTTAAACGAAAATGCGGAGATGCCCCATCGTGCAGAAACCACATCCGTGCTCGAACCGCCAATGGCACAACTTGAAAAAGGACAGGCAAATAATTCCGAAAAAATTCCAAATATTGGTGACCATCCATCCGATCTGGCAATATGATCGACAATACCTGCCTACACGTTTAAAGGAAAACGATGTTGGAAGTGTGTCTGGACCACCGCGTGAGGATTCTCAAAGGACCAAACGTGCGTATTATGAAGATTGGTTATTCCATTACGAGTAAAAATAGCTTCATCATATCAGCTGTAAAACGGGCGTTTCGCGCTTTTTCTTGCAACAACCACTCACAAAATCTTACTCTTATGGGCTAGTCTGTAGGTAGCAACGCCTGGACTCTCTGGACGTGATAAGGGTACAGTTGGGCCTCATGTAATATGCGCCACGCTGTTGCATGTGATACTTCTGGGACCTGTTGGGCTAACTGCCTTGTGCTTATTCCCGGATTTTCTTCCACAAAATCTCGGGCATTTAAAACTCGTTGTGAAAACAATTGAACAAAATGTTTCGTGATGTGGTTTGTGCCTATTCGGAAATCGGTGTGCATACCAACGAGAAGCCGCTCGCGAATTTTGCCCTCATTAGTGTACCCGTGTGCAATTTTTGTTAATAAATCACTAAAAACATAAACTCGTAAAATACTTTCTTCACAAAAATTGACCGTTCTTCATTCAGATCACCCACGATTCAGATTAAACCTTATTTACACGTTCTTATCAGTATAAAAATAACAAAAAATTCCTGGTCTTTAGTTTTCGTCAGTTGTTTCGTACAACATTTGCTACAATAATAATATCACGACAATGACGCAAAATACAGATATTCCTTTTCAATTTATTATTGAAACTCAGGTTTGTAACTTAATTTCTGTAGAAGTTTGATTACATTTTTTTTTGAGAAATCAACTTCTTTCGTTACAGTGCATATGTGGTTAAAATTTGTCGGATAAGTTGTGAAACACCCTGTATATTGAGATTAATTTTATCTAATTCTTCTGAAAGTTCCAGGATATTTCCTCACAAACCGCTACATAATCTTCAAATGAAACTATTTCCCTGTATTTTCAGGTTATGTGCAACTTAAGCTACAAAAGTTACAAATAATCGCGGTGCAACAGAAATTTGTCTGATAAAGTCCACCTTAGATTAATTTTCCGTTAAGCAAGGCGGTGCAAATATCGATTAATTATTTTCAGTGAGAGGCTCCAATTGGGCACCTATACAGGGTGACTTTGAAGTTGAGTCATTAATTTTCAGATAGTGATTGTAGAAGGAAGATAAACCAAAAAATGTGTGTAAAAATAAAAAAAAAAATTACCTTGTTTTATAAAGTATCCTCCCGACGAGTATTTCAGTGCGGACCTGTATTTGATCGTGCGGTCTTGGAGCACCGGCATGCACTCCCCTGTGAGGTCTTAAGTCACCTGATTCACGAGCCCTTTGTACTACATTAACAAAGGCACGAGGGGTTGGTTGCACTCGATTGGGAAACCGATTTTGTAAATAAGAATCATGTCCACAAGTTCAGCATTTTCGTAAACATGTGCCATTTTTTATTTCGTTTGAGCCACGCAACAAATACCACTATTCACTCACGCGTTACCGACTGAATACAACTAAAAACATCGTGATAAGCGTTTCAAATTCTTTCGCTTTTTTGTTTCCGATGTGATGAACCGATGCGGATTATATCCGTTGTTGCCAAACACGAGCACATAATATTATTATTGAGACAGGGCGGTACTCAAACTTCTAAAGGGCTATAACTTTGTTACTTTAATTTTACCAGAAAAATGTTAAAGGAAAAAAACATTTCTTTTGATCAGATCTACTCACTGTTAAAATAAATGACTCAACTTCGAAGTCTGGGGAGTATAAGGGAGTCCCGCAGGATATTTTTTATAGGAACTTCTGGCGTTATTTGTTGTTGTATTTGAGATAATGACCTGTTATTTGTCGAGAAATGTACCATTACAATAGAAATTATGTTTTCGTTTCTCTAGGATTCCCATCGCGGACTCATATTTGGGACAACACGACTAAGGCTTGGAAATATGAGTCGGAGTGGACGAACGAGATCTCAATGGTTCTGACGGGAGCAGCTTTTTTGCACAAATATTGGAGTTTTCTTTATATCACAAACTTGCCGTCTGAAATAAAAGACTGGGTGGATGAGCATATGAATTGTGAAGATATTGCTATGAATTTTTTGGTAGCTAATCTTACGAATAAACCACCAATTAAGGTAGGTAAATTTCAATATTGTATCTCGAACTGGTACAACCAAGTACAAAGTTTGGGGATCTGTTCATTCAAATCATAAAATAGTTAATTTTTACTCGAAAACAAATTTATTGATGGTATCAGGTTCACAAGGAAATAGCATTTGAGACAGTCAAGTGTGGAAAATCGCATCAGGCATGTGGTGGCCGAAATCGTTGATGCAGTGCTGGAGGCGTTCTTGGAAGTTCGCGTAGACTCTCTCCAACATCGCTCTCTCAACTTGGGCGACTTCCACGCGAATTTCGCCCTTCAATTCGTCCAGAGTTCGGGGCTTGTTCGCGTATACTCTAGCCTTGAGGTGTCCCCATAAGAAAAAATCGCTTATGGATATATCTGGGGACCTAGGAGGCCAATGAGCATCGCCAAACCTGGAAATAAGGCGACCAGGGAAGAGAGGGCGAATAACGCCCAGGGATGCTCGGGCTGTGTGGGCGGTCGCCCCATCCTTCTGGAAGCACACACGTCTGATTGGAACACGTCGCCCTCGTAATTCAGGGAGAAAGAAGTTGGTGATCATGTCGACGCAGCGCTCTGAGTTCACGGTAACATCACGACCATTACCGTCTTCGAAGAAGTAAGGGCCAATGATGCAAGTTTGCGATACAGCGCACCAAACCGATACTTTTGGGCTGTGCAGCGGTCTTTCGTGTAACTGTTGCGGATTTTCATTAGCTCAATAACGACAATTCTACTGGTTAACCATGCTGTTTAGGTGAAAGTGGGCTTCGTCACTCATAAACAAAATGAGGTTCTCATTTTGATCGATCAGTGCTCATTCGTTATGCATAATCTCCGGGCTGTCACTGTTGCACAATGGCCAATTTGTAGGGGTGAAAGCGGAGATCCATATGCAAAATTCGCCTTACCGAACGATCACTAAGGCGAAGTGCAGCAGCATGTTTCCGGGCAGATCGAGTCGGACTGCGAAGAAAGACCTGTCGAACGCGTTCAACATTTTCAGGAGTTTGAACTGTTCGCGGCGCTCCTCTTGGTCTTCTGTTGATCAGTTCACCATGACTGCGAAGTGATTCAACCCAACGAAGGATGGTGTTTCGAGAGGGAACAGCTCTATTCCGATGAATGTTGAAGTGGCGACGAAACTCACGCTGTACGACGATGACTGACTCATTATTTCGGACGAAACTAATCATAGGCGAAAACGCGGTGCTCCACCGTCCAAGGCTCCATAACGACAACTGGTAAAATAATGCTAGGATCTCACGAGTCAAACGGCACCCTCCTGGTCTAATAATTTTGTGGTAGAATATCGTACTCTACTCTCCATCTGGTTGAGGGTTATTTTTTGATAATTTCGGTCGACCGTAAATACGATAGCTGAAGGTGAGTTGGTGCTATTTGCGGTGCTCTGGTGTAGGAATTCCGCGGCCCACTACCCGATTTTGTGAAATAGGTTTACATGCAGAGTTGCGAATTTATAGGGTGGTGGTTTTTTTTTAATTAGTGTTTTCTCACCTTCTTGGGGATCTAGCCGTGAACATAATTACACTCACTATCGAGCTCAGGGGAACCGTCTGCAGGGATAATCCGAGGTGAATTTAAGTAGGACTCACGCCTGTGAGGAGCTGTTCCCCATTTTTCTGAAAATTAAAGTTCTGCGGTCTTTTATGGCTGAAAAAATATAGTTTTAATTTTTTTGGTCTAATAAAACAAATATTAACTATTCAAGACCTACTTAAAAAAGTCGGCAAAACATGCAAAGTATAATCTTTTGACTTACAACTCAAGCTTTGTACAGTCTATGCTGTCATTATCAGGAGATAAAAACAAATTTAAAAATAATAAATAGAAACCATACTCAATTCATTGGAAATTTGTTACTTACTTTGTCCGCGAGATTGGTGCTCAAATTTGATTTTATAAAGTGTAAATGAGAACGCCTGGTAGTTTTTGAGAGAATCAAATTTTAGCACCAATCTCGCGATCGCAATGAGTAACCAATTTTCAATCAATTGTATGGTTGCTATTTTTTAAAAAATTTGTTCTTAGCTTCTGATGATGACAGCATAGACTGTCGAAAGCTTGAGTTGTAAGTCAAAAGAGTACACTTTGCATAATTTGTCGATTTCTCCAAGAGCGAGTCTGCCACTTAATTATACTAAGTGACATATAAATCCGAACACCCAGTTTAAATGGTTTTATTTTAATAAAAGTTGGTGAATGTATTTATCTTACTGTAAATAACAAGTGAAAAAATGTTCAGCCTTATCAGTTGGACATTCCGGTTTTTATACTACTTTTTTTTAATTCACTAACGCTCTAAAAATGAATATTTCAGCCGCAATAAAGAATCAACGTTGGCGGATTTTGGTTCTTGACATGCTTTACGATCGGTTACGATGCCTAGAGTACGGAGACCTGTACGATTTCGTCAACTTAGTGAGCTTGATAGGGGCCGTATAGTGGGACTTCGGGAAGCTGGACTTTCTTTTCGGGCAATTGCAGTTAGAGTGCAAAGAAGTGTAGACACTGTGGTTAGGTGTTGTCAGGCATGGCTTCGAGAAGGCCTTACGCAAAGAGCAAGGGGCACTGGACGCCGCCGTAGAACAACAGACCGTGAAGATCGCCGCCTAAGATTATTGGCCTTAAGGGACCGTTTCTCCACTACCAGGTCCATTACAAATGAATGGTTTGCAGAACACGGAAGACCTATTGGCATGCGAAGTGTTTACCGACGAATGAGAAGTTTTGGCTTGTTTTCATACCGGCCACACTGGGTCCTCCCTTTAACTCGAGAACACCGACGTAATCGCCTTGAGTGGTGCAGACAACGGTCACTCTGGGATCAGGAATGGAACAGTATTGTCTTTAGTGACGAGTCTCGATTTTGTTTAGGCATGCACGATGGTCGTGCCAGGGTTAGAAGGCGACGTGGTGAAAGGAGGAATCCACAGTTTTTTGTTGAAAGACATGTTCATCACACTGTTGGAGTTATGGTTTGGGGTGCTATAGCTTATGGTTCCAGGTCACCTTTAATCTTCATCAGAGGTAACATGAACGCGCAGCGTTATATCCACGAAGTTCTAGAACCCCATCTTTTACCCTATCCTGACACCCTGGCAGATCCAACTTTCCAACAAGATAATGCCCGACCACATGTTGCAAGAGTCACAATAGACTTCTTTCAACATAATGATGTCACATTGTTACCATGGCCACCAAGATCTCCCGACTTATCCTCAATTGAGCACGTGTGGGATATGATGGGTAGGAGATTGCTCAATTTGCAACGTCCTCCTCAGACTCTAGAAGCACTTCGAGAGGAGTTGGTGGTTGCCTGGAATGAGATACCACAGGAGGACATTGACCACCTGATCAGAAGCATGCCTAGGCGCGTTGAAGAATGCGTAGCACATCAGGGTGCATCTACACATTATTAAAGGTCAAAGGGCTTTAAAGCAGTGCAATCATTTTGAAATTTTTATCATTTACTTATTATGCTTCATTATGTACTTATACAAAATTTTATTAAAATAAAACCATTTAAACTGGGTGTTCTGATTTATATGTCACTTAGTATATATATATATATATCCCATAAGTAATGGTAAATAATTTAACAGCAGATTCCTTTCAAAGAAATATGGTCAAGGTACATATTGAACTTGTTTTAGGTGACGCCAAGAAAGAAGTTCAAATGTCCCGAATGCACATCAAACGAGATGTTGTCCGCCGATTTGGGCCATATGGTAGAGAGGACGCAGTGCATTAATCGATTCGCTTCAATCTTCGGCCGAATGCCACTGAAAACGGTAGAGTTCAGAGCGGATCCAGTCTTATTCAAGGATCCATTCCCGGAGAAGCTCAAACGCTTTAATGATATCGGCAGCTTGTAATTGAACATATTTCAAAAATCGATTTGCTTTACATTCACACCGTTCTATCTAACTCCGTCATGAAACCAGATCCCAGAGCCGCCAGGTATACGATATTTTACTTTATTTGCATCTTCCATAACAACTATAAAGTGTAAAATTAATACTAGACTCAGGTTCAAAATAAGTGCAATAAGCAAAGTTTTGGTCAAATTCGGAACGTCATAACTTTTTTGTTTTCACCGCGAGTTTATTGATTTTTTTATCAGGCGATATTTACACTAAGCCACGGCTTGACCTGTTGTACAGGGTACTCAAAATGATGTATCATTGCTCCAACTTTGAGTCATTCTGTGGTGTGAATGCAGTTGCCAATCAGACCGCAATGCTTTTCATTATCAAGAATAACATTTTCTCTATAATACAGTTTTTTTGTTCACGTCAATATAGTCTACCGTTCAAAAGTATTTGAATATCTAGAAAACAAGGAAACCGATAGAAGTTATTAAAGAAAACATTATAATATCTGTATGAAAGATTTATTTTCTTATTTCTTAACAACCTACAACTATTTATAATCAAAATAATCATATTTTTGACTCATCAGTATGTCCTCCTTTACTTTTCATTACAGCCTGGAGAATGTTGGGTAGGTGCAGTGCACGGCTATTGGATGTTGTGCCTTGAGCCTTAAATTTCATAATAATGTAGGGTACAGTTGATAGTGGTACCTTCTGAAGTTTAGAAATTTCCCGAATACTTCTGCCGAATTCACGAAGACTAATAATAACTTTTTTCTCCTCGGAATATTCCTTAGTCTTACTCATTTTGTCCAGAAAACAATAAACGAAAACGCACTTGTTGAACAACTATAAGCTATCGAAGCACGGTTAGTTTTTCAAATGAAACAAGATAACTGAAGTAAAACTGTGTTATGGGTTTCTGTACAACACAAATTAATAGAAATCGAAAAACAAATCCTAAGAAAGAATTCCTATACCAAAACAACAATATTCTAAATGCAAATAAATTCCTGTTATGACTAATGATGACATCCCAATAATAGCGTGTTCAAAATTTTGACCTTCCAGTGATGCTTGATTTCCATGCTGATGGTTTTCAATAAATAAAGAAAAATAAATACGTACTGAATAGTTTTTGTTTGTTATGATTTTAAATGGAATAAATACGTACTGAATAGTTGTTTAGTCTGTTACGATTTTAAATGGAAATATATAAATAAATAATTTTGAACGGTAGTGTATACAGCGGTTGAAGTTTTTGAGGCAAATGGACATTTGACCACCAATTTTCCTTTCTTCTTTCTTAACTTTCTTAATGCCCGTACGAATTTAAAACTTTTTTGACCAAATTATACAGAAATATTTCTGCGTTGGGTTCAGATTTTTTAAATTGCCATTGATACCGTTTATCTACAGTGGCGAATAAAATGAAAACTTTTGACTTAATTTAAGAACAAGCTGTATAATAATTTCACGCTCTACCCTTTTGAAACACATTGTCATATCTCCCTTATCCTCCAATTTTGTGGCCCTGAAAACTCTAGCGAGGATTGTTCTCTTGGAACAAAATAAATTTAACACAATTTACAAATTTTAATCAGTATTACTACATATTGTCAGTCGTACTCGAGCTCCTAGATAATATTTCCTTCATTATATGTGAGGAAGCATGATTAAGGAATATTTTGCATTATACACAGCGGCCCATTTTCAAATTACGTACTAAACATGTTGTGTTACATCCATTCTGCTCCAAAAGAACAATACTCGCATTAATTTTTATGAACCCAAAATTTGAGGATGAGAACATTCAGTTATTGCGTTTACACTGAAATTATTATACATTGTGTTAGTAAATTAAGTCGAAAGTTTTTAATTTCTTCGCCACTGTAGATTAACAGAAGCAATGAGAAAATGTGAACCTAGCGCAGAAACCCAACAGGTTTCTGTACAAATTGATGAAAAACTTGTTGACTGCGTACCGGAATAAAAAAAGCAGTGAAAGGAAAAAGCAAACTTGGTGGTAAAATCTTCATTTGCATCTAAAGCTTCAACCACTGTATATACAGGGTGGTTGGTGCATCATTTGCCAAATTGAAATGGTGGACAGAGGAGGTCTTTTTCTAGCACTCCAGGTCCCTCAAACAGTTTTTAGCCCAACGGAATTAATTATGTTGATTTTTTAATTTTTTTAGTAAAAACTCCAAAATGTAATACACAATGATGTACTAATCTTACAAAATCAACATTACTTGCCAGCAGCATGTAGTTTTTTATTTATAAACTCACAAAAGGTTACAAAGAAGAACAAAAAATGTAAGTCTTAACTTTGAATTTTTGTAAAAAAAAAGTAAAAGCGTTTACGTTCTTAGAATTCTTTTAAAAACTAGTTTAGTTTATCCCGATTCTAACGGTATGCCACAAGTCACGAAAAAGTTTGACTAACTTATTGAATTTGCAAATTTTGTGTACAGGGGAAGGAAAATAAAAAAACGTGTAAAATCAAATTTCAATCATTTATTATTTTTTCTGTTTCACAAATCTTGTTCGAATTGTTGTCCTCTATTGCGTCTGCACGCACGACACCTTTGTCTTATCTCGACTGTTGTCGTACGTAGGCGAATTTCTTGCCGAATCGTACCAAACGCCTCTTCTATTCTTCGGATCAACTTCTCCGTTGTTCCAACTTCTGTCGCCTAGACGAGTGCTTTTGCACGTCCCCATATGTAAAAGTCCGATGGAGTTAGGTCTGGGAGCGTCCAGTCCACGCATTCGGAAAAGCATCATTTAGATGTTCCCGCACTATTAGCCTCCAGTGTGCAGGAGAGCCGTAATGTTGGAAAACAATTCGTCTGTCGCCATTGAAAATTGGCACCTCATTCACCAATTCGGGCAACTTATTTTGCAGAAAATGTAGATACAGCAGACGCTCGATAATGTAAACTAATTTAATCCAAGTGTGGTTCACATTATCGAAATGTTTACATTAGCGAACGTGATTTATATAATATTTGATGTATTGAAAGAAACGTTTAATACATACTATTTATAACAAAATAAACAAATATTCTAACAGCGATAAGTATTTTTTAATTAGAAGAAAAATAATTAACAATTTTTGTCTGCGTAAATTTGCGCTTAGCATTGTCTTCCAATGCCTGCGCCCGTAATTTACGAAGAACTAAAATATCCGTTTATGAAACTTTTTTTCTTTCAGCCCAATCTAAAGCTTGGTTAAAAACTAGTATAGCTTGCGCGTCAGTCACTACACTTCTGACTTCAATGGGATCGTTCTCATCATCCTCACTGTCCATATCCTCCTCCTTATCAGCATCATTCGTCTGCTTATCTTTGTTCCATAAATTAATATCAGCAGGAATACAAACAATGTTGGGATTCACTGTTTTCAATAAATCAACAACATCCAATGACACTCTAATAACATTATCATTATTGGATCGCAAACGTTCTCTAATTACGCTTAAGGGGACATCGTCTTCTTCATCATCTTCATTATTGGTACAAAAGAGATTGTTCCAACATTTTTGAATAGATAGCTGGTTAAGTTCATTCCAGGCCATATGTAAATCTAAAACAGCTTCTCGTAATGTTACTTTTTTTAAAGCCTCAGATAAGTTTTCAGGATTCTTTGATAAGATAGACGAAAGTAGAAACTTCCTATAGTATAGTTTGGTGAGTCTTATTATATTCTGGTCCATCGGTTGAATTAACGGTGTTACGTTGGGCGGCATGTACATGACGAAAATTGACCCATCCCTGCTCCTCAGTTGTTGCTCGGGAGGATGACTTGGTGCATTATCCAATAGTAACAACGCTTTTATTGGAAGCTTCTGTTGTTTTAGGAAACTTTTTACCTACAAATTGAAAACACATCTTCAAATTATGAATAGAGCATTTGTGATAATTGATTGTCATACCTGAGGGACAAAGCACCTGTGGAACCATTTCAGGAATATACTGCTAGTCATCCAAGCGGTTTTTGAACAGTCATAATCAACAGGGATGTTAACATTTTTAAATAAGCGCGAATTTTTTGCTTTCCCAATTACCAGTGGCTTTATTTTGTGTGAACCATTAGCATTAGTGCAGGCTAGAAACGTTATTCGTTGTTTCTCCGGCTTTCTTCCCGTGGCAGATTTTTCAAATGATCCAGCATAGGTTTTCTCTGGTAACATTTTCCAATAAAGGCCACTTTCATCTGCGTTGTAAATTTGTTCCATTCTTAAATCTAGCTCGGTAATTGTTTTCAATTTTTCTTTGAATGGTTGCACTAATTGTGGTTGTGCTGATAATTTTTCACCAGATATAGACAGCAGTCGAATTCCATATCTTGTTTTGAATCTTTGTAGCCAGCCATCACTAGCTACGAAATTTTCAGTTTCTTTCAGTTTTTCATTTAACAGTCTCGCTCTCTGTTTAAGTACTTCGCCACTAACTGGGACATGATTTTCCCGTTGTTTTAAAAACCACTTATACAGGGAATTTTCCATTTTAGGTGCCTTCGCATTTTTTAATTTTTTTCTTTTTCCCGGACCTCCAAATGTATTGCACGTTCTTTGTAAAATTTGAATTTTCATACGCTTAATTTTACAGATTGTTGCTTTCGATACTCCATATTTTTTTGCTAACTGTGTCACTCCCGCACCTAGTGCAACTTCGTCTATAATTTTCACTTTCTCACTCAACTTTAAACACTTTCTTTTATAGGATGTGGATGCCTTAGTCGTAAAATATATTAACGCGTGCAATGTATTCACTTAAGTTCAAAAATGAAATACATACGTATGTATAAACGTATCCTAAACGATCATACGACTGACCGAGCTTGTCGTATTTTATCGCAGAGGTGAATCCCCTACACTCTACATCATAAGGAAGTCATTGTTTTCAAGACTTGCAATCAAAAAAATACGGGTAACATTAGTTTGCTGCCGCTACATGCTAAATAAAAGCGATAAGAAGTTTCCATTGCAGACAGTTGTAAGTGTGCTAAAAAAATACATACCTTGAACAGGAGTGTAGTGGAAGGCATGTTTATTATTCTGGCGAAGTACTTTCCACACTTTCCAAATTGAAATTCCCAGTGATGAAGTTGCATTTCGGATGCTTTGAGTAGGATCTTCCTCGACAAGTACCAAAATCCTCTCATCGATGTCAACATTGTGTCACACTACGACACCTCTTGGTACATTATTGCTCCCAGTACCGGTTTCTCCTAAGCGCCGATAAGTGTTTTGGAATGTGTGGCGAGTAGGTACACGCCTGTTAGGATAGCGCTCTTCGTAGATTCTTTGCGCTGCTCGTGCAACACACTTGGCTTGTCCGTACACCAACAACATGTCTGCATACTCTTCATTTGTAAATGCAGCCATCATCAAAACAGAACTCAACGAAAATTGACAAAACAACAGTCACAGGTCGCCGCACTACCTCGATGGAAAAATGGACCCACGTCGTCCCTGTCGGTTAGCCGCTCAACTAGTAAAAGAGAGAGACAGATGATACTGCTCCGCTGGGTACGAGGGAGACAAAAGTTTTTACCTGAGTTACGTTGTAGTGTAAATTACACAACACAAACAAACATTCATTGTTATTATCCGACCGAAAAAATTTGACCCTGTACACAAAATTTGCAAACTCAAGAGATTATTTCAACTTTTTTGTGACTTATGGCATACCGTTAGAATCGGGATAAACTAGAGTAGTTTCTAATAGAATTCTAAGAACGTGAACGCTTTTAGTTTTTTTTACAGAAATTCAAAATTGAGACCTACATTTTTTTGTTCTTCTTTGTAACCCTTTGTGAGTTTATAAATAAAAAACTACATGCTGCTGGCAAGTAATGTTGATTTTGTAAGATTGGTGCATCACCCTTTAAGATAAATTAATCATTAGGTGGACTCTTTATTTTTTTATTTCACTTTTTGTATTACATTTTTTAGTTTTTACGAAAAAAAATTTAAAAATCTACATAATTAATGCCGTTGGGCTAAAAACTGTTTGTCGGACATGGGGTGATAGAAAAAGACCTCCCCTGTAGGCCATTTCAATTTGGCAAACGATGCACCAAACTCTGTATTGAGGTGAATGAAAAACCAGATTATAGGGAAAATGTGGTTCTTGATCATGAAAAGTATTGCGGACTGATTGGCAACTGGAGTCACACCACAGAGTGACCCAAAGTTGTGGTAATTAAACCTCATTTTGATGTACCCTGTATAACAAGTCAAACCGTGACTACAATCAAGAACTCTTATTTACATACTAAATACAGTCAATGAGTGTTCCTGCCGTCTGCCGAAGCGATCAATGAAATCGGTAACAAATAAAAAACGTCATGACGTTACGAATTTGGCCAAAACTTTATTTTGAACCTGAGTGTATATTTTTTTAGACCTAAACGACAGTAAAACTCTAATTTTAAAACATATTTTTCATAGACAGACGAAAACGCTGTCCGCGCCCATATTAATGTGCTGTGACGTCATACCATTTGTAAACAGCAACTGACTGCAGCATAACCTCTCAAACTTTTGAACATCCAGGGCGCGCCATTTTTTATGTTTGTATGTAAACATGAAATAACTTTGAAAACGAAAAACTGATTTCTACATATCGGGTATTTTTATTAAATATTGTCCTTTACATTTTATTGGGACTAGTTTTTGAACACAACATCTATCAAGTGGCCACCTTTATGGCCAAAACAAAATGTGCCCGTTTTGCTGCGTTTTCCATTACTTCTTCGAGCATCTCTGGTGGTATAGCGGCGATTGCGGTACGAATATTTGCCTTGAGTTCTTCAGTGGTCTGGGGCTTGCTGGCGTACACTCAAGAAGAAGTCCGGTGGGGTCAAATCTGGAGACCGGGCTGGCCAGTCAATGTCACCTCTTTTGACATCAGATGTCCAGGAAATGTTCGTTGCAGAAACTGGATTGTTTAAGTGTGGCATGTTGAAACCAGTAACCATTAAGACCTTTTTCACGGATTTGTGGGCAGATATAATGAGCCGACATCCACCGATATCGATTTCCATCGACTGTTTCGTTTTCGTTGAAGAAAAATGGTCCAATGATGGTTTTGGCCCAAACAGTCACTTTCCGGTCATGCAACGGCATTTCGTGGATCTCATGTGGTTTTTTCGTCCCCTAAATATGGCAGTTTTGCTTATAAACGCCGCCAGAGAGCGTGAAATGGGCCTCGTCGGTCATCACAATTTGGTTCCAAAAATCAGATTCAGCATCAATCATGCGAGCGACTGTTTGGGCGTATTCCAAGCGACGTGGATGGTCAGTTGGCAATATTTTTTCTGTTAACTGCGCTTTATAAGGAAACAAATGCAAGTCATCCTTCAAAATGCGTCGCAACGTGGTTCCACTGATGCCAAAATGCTGAGCGTGGTGACGATACGACACTTTTGGGTTCTGGCCGACGCTGTCTCTGACCACTGTCCCGTACTCAAGAAAATTCGGAACCAAACGACGGATAGTGTTGTCAGACGGTGCCTGTTTGCCACGATATTTTCGACGATATGCACGAGCGACGATTTTCAATGTACATTGTGACTATTTCGGCGCGTTGTTTCGGTGTAAAGCGATTCATGACTAGAATTGTAGTAAATTGACGTTTCAGAAACACGTATAACCAAATCGCTCGTTTGGTAAATATCAAAGTGATTCGATGTTTCAATACCGACATAAAAGATGGCGCACCCGGTAGAAACATGACTTCTGGTAGCTCACATGAAAAATATAGTAATTATCATATTCTATCGTCCGAGAATGTATGTACGATTCTGTTGCAGATGTGTAAGAAGAAATACAATGTTAGTTAAAATTATTCAGAGGTTATGATGCATGAGCTATTTTGTTAAATTGGACTTATATATCCGTCTTACGCTTTTAAAAATTGAAATTGATATATTTCGTTTTCCTAAGCCAAATACTGTACAAAATACTCATTTATTCTTTGAAGTGAAGTAACCTATTCCTGTTCGGAATAGCCCAGGGATGTTAGATATTTTTTTCTGGGATATATCACGGTCGCGATTAAATCTTTGATGAAGCTTTATGTTTTTATTATTGTGATATCCGTTGTGCCACAGACAGTGGTTGATTAAGAATACGTTTTTGTGGTTGACTGTATAGTTTATTTCGGGATTTTACTCATAATGTTGTCTATAACCAAAAGTTGTTCTTCTCAAAATAATAAGCTATGGTTCTTCTCAATTGTCTGATTCTTTTGTATATAAATTGCCCATCTGTATTCAAAATGTATATATTGTATATAGTTCTTAAATATAGGGTTTTTCACCAGGATTATATATATTTTTTTATGATTTGATAAGTCCTGTATACTGGAAGTTTTGTGCATGTACGTATGTTGTAAATGAGCTGCAAATTATATATTTAATATATGTATGTTTCCGTACTGATGAAATTTTTCGTTTCCTTATAAACTTACCATATGCGTCTTTCTTTAATACCAGCCGTCGGATCTGTTTACATTAAACTGAGCAGTGTAAACCCGTAGCTACATATAGTTGTACGAGGGTTGTTTAAAAAATAGGATTCCCACATTTTTTTCAGGCACAAGTAATTTTTTATTTGAATAAAAAAATCACCATTGGAAATGTGAAAATTACGTCATCGGATGCAGTTTATTTGGCAAAAACCGCTTTAGATCGAGTAACCAACAAATCAGTTCAAAATTACTTCTGCAAAGCATGGAAACCTGCAAATTGAAGACCAGTTAAATGAGCCTGATATACCTGATCCAAAAGATGACTTACCGCTTAATTCAGTTATAAAAAAAGACTTTTCTGAAAATGGCTGATAATGGAAACCTTATGATTTTTTGAACCTAGATGAAAGTTTGTAACATATGTTGAATATCCAGATCGTATATACAGGGTGGCACATCGAAAACGAAACAGACGCATTTACTGGCAGCTCAGTTTTTGTGGCAAAAAAGTTATTTCTTGAAGAAAGATGAGGAAATATCTCGTACTTATTTTAAATAGGAATTTAGTACATAGTTTGCGATTGATTTGATCAAACTGTGTTGCTAAATTAACTTGTAACGCTTTATTACTTAAACAAACAAACAAAAAAATGGTATATTCCACAGCAGAAAGAGTTGAAATTATCGAACAATTTTTCGGAAATAATCAGTGCGCTAATAGAACAGCAGAAATATTTAATGAGCGACATGAGAACAGTAACGTGCATCGAAAATATGTTCTAGAACTTGTAGCTAAATTTCGGGAAACTGGGTCAGTCGCCAATAAAAAACGCAACATTGAAAATCCCATAAGGAACGAAGCAATAGAAGTGAGGGTTTTAGGGCAAGTTTGTGTAGATCCTACGTTAAGTACCAGCAAATTGGAGACTGTGTGTGGTGTTAGTCGACGTACTGTCCAACGGATTCTAAAGGCCCATAGTTTTCATCCTTATAAAATTCACCTGTTACAAGAACTGAATGAAGACGATTTTGATCGGCGATTACAATTTTGTGAAGAAATGAGTGAACGAATTATAAACGATGAATATTTTCTATTCAATACTTGCTTTTCCGACGAATGTTCCTTTTTCTTAAATGGCGTAGTAAATCATCATAACTGCCGATATTGGTCCGATTCTAATCCCAGAATTTATCATGAGGTCATACACAGCAGCCACAAAAATTAAATGTTTGGGCTGGTATTTTTGGCGATCATTTAGTTGGTCCTTTTTTCTTACCTGGAGATTTGACTGGTGAAATGTATTTGGAATTACTGGAAGACGTCATAGATCCTGCATTAACAGCCATAATTGAAAATCAGAATGATCGGCGGTACATTGCGAATAGGTTGATGTTCCAACAGGACGGTACCCCACCACATTACGCATTACGTGTTCGACAATATTTAGATCAGACGTTTCCAGATCGATGGATTGGTAGAAGGGGTGTGCCATTGAATGGCCCCCAAGATCGCAAAATTTATCACCTCAGGATTTCTTTATGTGGGGTCATTTAAAAAGCAAAATCTATGCTACTCAGCCAAAAGCATTAGAAGACCTGCGACAAAGAATTGTGAATGAGTGCCTTCAAATTACTCCTCAAATATTGCAAAATGTGCGGTAACGTGCATTGCGAATAGATTGATGTTCCAACAGGATGGCGCCCCACCACATTACGCATTACGTGTTCGACAATATTTAGAACAGTCGTTTCCAGATCGATGGATTGGTAGAAGAGGTGCCATTGAATGGCCACCAAGATCGCCAGATTTATCACTTTTGGATTTCTTTATGTGGGGTCATTTAAAAAGCAAAATCTATGCTACTCAGCCAACATCATTAGAAGACCTGCGACAAATAATTGTGAATTACTCCTCAAATATTGCAAAATGTGTGGCAACGTTTTGAGCAAAATCTTTATTATTGCATGGAGAGTCATGGTGGCCATTTTCAACATTTACTTGCCTAACGGGTCATTTCATTCTTCATTTTTAAATTACATTGCTGCCAAATGTATTGATCTCCACTAATGATGATGTATTAGTTTTATTTAAGCTTTAAATCAATAAATCTTCAAAACTACTGAACTGAAGCTCATGTATTTTACATCATTTTAACGGGAATTGAAATACCTTTAAAATAGGGTATCACTCGACCCCCCTTTCCATTTAAGATTTTGGGGGTGGTGTCACCCCCGCTTACGGGGCTGCATGTGCTAACGTGATTTTTTGGCAAACTTGTGTCCCCCTCGAAAACAAAATCGACGGGTCTGAGCGTTTTTCCAAAAAAAAACTGAGGTGCCAGTAAATGCGTCTGTTTCGTTTTCGATGCGCCACCCTGTATGTTTTAGGGTAGCGACAGTTTTGCTTTTATTATTAAATCTTTTATAAATTTGAAAACTGCTTTCTATTAAAAAATGTAAACACCTCTTTATGAAGTCAAATATTTCATTTAGTTTATGTTCATTATTGCTTATAGCACCTGTTACGTAAACACCTAAATAAACGTTTTCTATTTCCACACAATTATGAGGATCTTTATATTCTACTTTTTTAATCAAAGTTTTATCTAAATAATCCTTTTTCATGTAACAATCCAAAATTGTTCTTAACACATGTTCAACTCTGTTTATATAAAATGTGTATTTTAAGATTTTCGGATTGCATTTCTAAATTTAATCCCATAAAAAACGGCAGCACAAAGTTCAAAAAATGGAAATACAATATGGTAGATGGATTTTGAAGAAAAATTAAGATATTTTGTGCTTGAATGCCATTTTTATTGTAGCGCTGATCTGTAAAATATAATTTTAAAGCATCATATTGCTCAAGTATTCTTTTTACAACAGGCAATACAGACAACCACCTTGGTTGTAAAATTTTATGAGGTTTTACTGCTACAAACTCCTAAAATTCTGCAAATTCAGTTTGTCTTTTAAAACTGTATTGTAGATACTTATGAACATCTCTAGCCATTTGTTCAATATCATCTGGTAATTTAGCAGAAGCATAATTAACACATGAACTAAATGAATGACAGACACATTTCATAATGAATAAATTAGGAATATCGGCTTTTAGTTTGGTGGATAATGAATTATGAATTCCCATCATAGCACTTGCACCATCTGATGTGAAGCCTATTAGATTTTCTTTATAGTTAATATTACATTTTAAACAATAATTTACAATAGTGTTGTAAAGTCTTTCTGCCGTTGCATCTGCTACAGACCAAAGAACAAGTCAGTAATTTTATGTTCATAAAAAATACGTGTCACTAAAGCTAAATGCTTAATTTCGCCTTAATCGTTCGATTCATCAGCAATTAATGAAAATTTATTTGTTTGTAATAAATTAATAGAATTTTCAAAACTGTACTGCCCTAAAACATCATTGACAATAGCTGTAGCTTTCGTGCGAGATGATGTGAAATTTTTAGCAATCTCTGAATCGTCAAATGATATTCTAATAGTTTCTGATAAATGGTCTGAAGTATTAAATGAAATGTTATGTCCAGCTGCATATGCTGCAATACGAATTTTTTTGTTTGATTTTGTTATTTGAAGGTATGTTTTCCATATAAGATGTCATATCAGTCGAAGTTTTTTGTGTGTGTAATGATTTTACCAATTTGGTGTACTGTTTTCCTGAAGAATGTTTCTGGATTTCGGATTTGCCTCATATGAAATCTTTATTGCATGCCTTGCACAATTCATAATTGGACCCTTTCTTGCTGCTCCTCAGCCAACCTTTAAAGTCAGGTTCTTGTCCCTATGCAGCGGTATATTTCTGAGTATAGAACTTTATGATTTTTTTCTTTTTTCCTATGTGTCCAGCTTCTTGAGAAGAAGACGGTGAGGATTCCAATTCATCAGCATGTTTAAAAGTTGTTGGTTGAGGTGTAATTGAGGACATGATGTTACATCTGTAATTATAAGGAAACAATAGCAAACAAATTTAGAAGTTTCGTTTAAAAAACATAGATCATAGATATACATATTATAGTCAACGCCAAACAAAGTGGCGTGCACGTCATCAAGGTGGGTGTGTTGAAAAATTTACATTGTTGCCAAACTTTTTGTAAAATAATAAAATTTATTATTTACATATCTAGGTTTATAAGCAATATTAACCTCAAATGAGAACAAAAATAATAGTATAATAAAATTATAGATCTGTACTTGCATAATCATTAACTATGACAATTATTGATCAGATGACACTATGAAACTACCATATTTAATTGATAGCTTAAAGGTACTGAATAAAAATCCAAATGGGGTCCTCCAAATTTTATGCATGGTATTTATTTTACAGAATTCATACAGAAAAATGCATTCTAAAATTAGGTAAGCTACTGGTGTAAGCTTTTTCTGTACAATAAAGTTAGTCGGAGTTTCTTTCTTCAGCGCTGTCTGAATCTGAATCTTCATCACTCTCAAAGTTGATTATTAAAGGTTCGATGTCTGGTCGATCAAAAATTCGTTCTCTTTCATACCATTTAAAAATTTCTTGCTCAGTATGTCGAACACTATTTTTCCACATGTCTGGGGTAACCGTTTGTAGAGCCTCGTTCCACATATCCAAACAGTCTTTTTCACTGTTACCATCTCTACCAATATGTCTGTTATAGTAACCTTTTGCTATGCCCCAAATTAACTCAATAGGGTTAAATATACAATGGTAAGGAGGCAGACGAAGAACTTTGTGCCCATGTTGTTCCGCCAATTCATCAATCACCTATATTTTAGGTGGTTTGTTTCTAAAAAAGCAGTTATTTTAAGAATAGGAATAAACAAAAGAAATATAAACTGTCGACCAAAATATATATATAATTAAGAAGCATTATGTACCGAGCAACAATACTCAATAGCTCTGTTTTAAACATTGTGTTTAAAAATGGTATGTTTTGATTTGTCAACCAGTCTTGGATATTTTTTTTTGTCCATGCATTGTTGGGCACTTTGTTCAATATCATGTTGTGATAAGGGGCGTTATCCAGTATAATCATAGATGGACTCTCCAATTTTTCTAATAACTGATGTTGAAACCATTTCAAAAAATTGTCCTGGTTCATCTCTCCATGGTAATCGCTCAATTTTGTTTTCGAAGAAAATATCGCTTCACTACCCTCAATAAACCCATTTTCATTTCCAGCATGTAATATAATGTATCTAAAATATATTAGTTTCAAATTTTATAGTGCAAATTGTGTAAAAGTACATACCTTTTACCATCTGTTTTAATAGCTTTCACGCTTTTTTGGTTTCCATTTTGCCAAGAGCGACCTATGGTCCCATTTTGAAATATCCAAGTTTCATCGAGGAAGACAAACTGGTATAAGGCCTCAACCTTGGCTTGATTGTATTGCCTTTCGAAATTCCACCCTTTTCAAAGCTATACTTGGTAGTTCCATGAGCCCTCGTCGCGGATTGTCCTTAAGCCACTTAAATCCAAGATCTCTAAGCAACCGCCTTAAAGACGTGGCACTACCATCAAATAATGCCCTATCTCTTAATCGAGACCATAAAGTTTGTATCGTAACTTGTTCTTCTGAAACCATGTGTAATATGACATTATAATTTAGTTAACAAATTAATGCAAATTTCTGATAAGTTATTATAATAAGATCTTACTTTTGTGATACATATTATAGATCACTTCTCGAATGGCACTTGTATCCAATGTCGCTGTGTTGGTTACACGTTTAATATAACTCCGCTTTTTCTTGGGCGATTCTAAATTTGCATCACTTTTCACACCCTCGGAAATACGACTAACTGTCCTTAAACTAATTTTTAAAGCAGCAGCAACACGCTACAAAAAATGAAATAAAATTTCACTATTATTAATATACATTACATAAAATTATTAGTAACCTACCTCTTGAACAGCATTTAAAGGCAACAAAGACCCGTTGTTGTCCCTTTCTTGCTCAAAGTAGTGCATTAACGAGGCCACGAGTTCCTTACACCGACTATTTAACTGTTTGGGCATCTTTACGTATATATACCAAAATTGCCTTTATCTACTCGTAAAATGAACAATTTTGTTTTGAAACAAACAGTTGTTGATTTACAGTATGCGGGGCCAAAGGATTTATAAAGATTTGAAATGCCACAAATTGATTCAGTGTCAAAATTAATACAAATGTCAGTTCCCAGTTTAAATAAGTTTCAAGGTGACAATGTGTCAACGCTGCGAAATCGGTTTTGTGCGTTTACATGTCGATAAGTGATTGGAGCGTTTGCAAAACATTTTATTTCGCATAATGCGTCTAAATTTATCAGAAAGCAACTTATGTGATATTTTAATAACAATGTTTATATGACTATTAACCATAATAAGAGAGTAATGACCATTTTACAATTTATATATCACATTAATATGAAACTGCAATAGAGCAATTGTTTGTGATAGAAACCTAGGCATTAGGTCGGGGAATTTTTATCGTGATGACGTGTACGCCACTTTGTTTGGCGTTGACTGTATAATATGTATGTATGTCTGAGATATCAATATTTCATTAATTTATAGAAATATTTTTTCATTAACTTTAATACTAGATAATTCATTTCTGAGTAAACTCTGAAGAACCTCCTCGATCAACTATAATAATTGGAAAAGTAAATATTTTATAATAAATAAATCGGTACTTCCTATGGCAAATAAGTTCAATGTCGAAAAACGTTAATGATTATTCGTTAATAATTTTTGAGCACAAACTGAAAACAACAGCAGGAAATGCATCAGAAACCACCCGGCGGTCTATATATATATTATATTATAGCCCAGGTATTTCCCCCGTATGTAAAATACCGTCGGGAAATCACCGACGGGGAATCACCGATGAGGAATCACCGACGGGGAACCACAGCGTTTCGATTAGCAATTCCCCGAATGTTATGAGTTATGATTGCCGACCGGTTTGTTGATACAATTTGGTGTTCGTACATTTTAATATACAGGGTTTGTCCGGAAAGTAATAGAACTCATTTCCTTCCGCCATGACTGGATTCGGTAGAGGGCGTTCCTAGCTAACGAATTTGTGGCTGGTCAGTTGTCTCCGAGCACTTGGAGAGTCAGGACAGGCATTTTCGCGCGACGCGTTTCTGTGAGTGGTGCAAGCCGAAAATGCAGCGTTCGTTAGAGCAGAGGTACGCGATTAAATTCTGTGTGAAACGCGGTAAATCTGCGACAGAGACGTTTGATATGATCAAGCAGGCTTACCCAGGTGTCACCACGACTTTTTGGAAGGCCGGAAAGAGGTCGCTGATGAAGACTCAGACCGTCAACTAAGTATTCGTTTAATTGCCCAGATGCTAAATTTACCAAAATCTGTGGTTCATGATATTGTGACACAGCATTTGAACATGCGCAAGGTGTGCGCGAAGATGGTCCCAAAAGTGCTCTCTGACGACCAGAAATTGCGGCGAGTCGAAGTATGCCAAGAAAATTTGAACATGTGTGAAAGTGACCCCCAATTTTTGAATAACGTAATCACAGGTGACGAGTCGTGGATCTTTGAATATGATCCCGAAACAAAGAGGCAATCTTCGGAGTGGCACACGACGGCGTCTCATCGCCCAAAAAAGGGAAGAATGAGCAAATCCGAAGTGAAAACGAGGCTCATTGTCTTTTTTTGACATCAAAGGCATCGTCCACTATGAATTTGTTCCTCCTGGACAAACCGTCAACGCCAAGTTTTACGTGGAAGTGCTAAGGAGACTCAAACCAAGGGTCAGTCGGGTCCGACAAGACATCGCATCCGACTGGAAGTTGCACCACGACAACGCCCCGGCTCACACCGCCTTTCTTGTGAACAGCTACCTGACCAAGGCCGGTATCCCAACATTTCCGCAGCCGCCCTACAGCCCAGATGTGCCCCCCCCCCCGGACTTTTTTTGTTTCCTCGCCTGGAAAGGCCGGTAAAAGGCAAGCATTTTGAGACGACAGAGGGGATCCAAGCAGAATGCTCCGCGGCTCTCAAGGCTATTCCGGAGAATGCCTTCCGTGACGCCTTCAATGCTTGGAAATCGCGCTGGTAGCGCTGCATCGACGCAGAAGGAGCCTATTTTGAAAGTTTTTAAAGAATTGTAACGATTGGCTCAATACATTTTTTAAATCGACTCAGTCCTATTACTTTCCGGACAAACCCTGTATTTTGAATCGTGTTTTATAGGTGCGATCGGAAGGTATTTTAAAAGTAATATATTTGTTTCTTAGTTTATTCTCTATCTCTCGTTTATTTTTTGTACCTGCTCCCTAGATTTTGTACAAATTTAAATAAATTTCCCCTTCTCCCTAAGCTTGCTCGTAATTCCCTAGATATAGGGAAATTTCCCTAGGTCTGTTAACACTGCCCGTCGGTCCTAGCTGGTCCGACCTCTGGTTGACAGCCAGACCTCTTCCGGCAGGTGTCGCCTCGGTGACACACAGGGTTACTCCAATGCCAAGGGCGAAAAAGCTTTGTAGTTTTTGAAAATCGGTCCAGTGGCGGCGAAATGTGGGGCGAGAAAAGGAAAAAACAAAATGTTGATCAAACTTCGTTTTTTGACGTTTCAGAGGCTCCTGATCATTTCAGAATTTTTTTTTGTAGGGGTTGAAAGTTGGGGATTGTAGGAGGTAAGGTGTTCTAAATGTTACGTATGTTTATATATAATTTTTAGAACAATAGAAAAAAACTGTTTCTCCATCTCCCTTCCAAGCCTGGCGCCTCCAGTGTTG